CCGACAACAGCTGCTGACAGCGCTCGGGCGCAACCTTGTGCCGTGCCCCCAAGGGCCAAGGGACTCGGGCCGACCCAAGCCCCCCCTCTAGGCCAAGACCCCAAGAGGCGCCAAGAGCCACCAAAAGGCTTCAAAAGCTTCAAAGGCCCACTAAAAGAAGGGGGACCATAAGATTTGTCCGTGCCCACAATGAAAAATGCGATTTTTGAATATTGAAAACGATGGTTTTACGCACCCCTGCCCGTAATGAAAAATGTTCTTTTTTAGTACTGAAATCGATGGCTCCCCCCAGCAAGGACCTCTACGGGCCCTGACGTGCCGAAGGCCCGGAAAGGACCGAGGCTACCCCGAACCCCAACCTAAACCCTAACACCGCAAAACCCTACGACGGCCTTCAAGTAAATAAGGGCCTCTACGGGCCCTAACGTGCCGAAGGCCCGAAAAGGGCCGAGGCTACCCCGAACCCCAGCTTAAACCCTAACACCGCAAAACCCTGCGAAGGCCTTCAAGCAAATAAGGGCCTCTACGGGCCCTAACTTGCCGAAGGCCCGAAAAGGGCCCAGGCTACCCCGAACCCGAGCTTAAACCCTAGCGATTGAAATACTCATTGGCGAAAAATTCATTAATAGGTTCCCTGACCTTTAAATGAATAAAACCTCTGACACGCCGAAGGTCCGAACAAGGCCCCGAGAGACCCCAAGAGCCACCAAAATGCTTCAAAAGGCTTCAAAAGGCCCCCTAAAAGAAGGGGGGCCCCAGGATGCCCGTACCCGCAATGAAAAATGCGGTTTTTTGGTAGTGAAATCGATGCTTAATTGGAATCCAGGAGCAGACACAAAGGATTTCCCTGACCTTCAAATAAACAAGGGCCTCTACGGGCCCTGACACGCCGAAGGCCCGAAAAGGGCCGAGGCTACCCCCAACCCTAGCCCCTACAGCGCAACTTTAAAAACATCAAAGCAAGCATCAGAGCACAAGAAAGTAAATTCCATAAACCCTAAACCCTAATAGAGTATAGTTTGGGTGGCCGGGGTGGGTTGACGGGCAACGCGAGCGCGCGGCCCGGGGTGTTTCACACCCGAGCGCGCGCCCTCCCCTGACACACCCTAAACCCTAAACCCTAAACCCTAAACCCTAAACCCTAAACCCTAAACCCTAAACCCTAAACCCTAAACCCTAATTAAACCCTAAACCCTAAACCCTAAAAAACAGACCGCAAAATCAATCTTTAAGCTCCGAAGGCCGCAGGGCGACTGGTTTGCCTTGCCTCCCGCAACGAGGAGGAGCCCCGCGATGTCTAGGGTTTAGGGTTTAGGGTTTAGGGTTTAGGGTTTTTGGGAAACCCTCGGCCCTAAACCCTGAAACAAAAAACCCTAAACCCTAGACCCTAGACCCTAAACCCTAAACCCTAAACCTTAAACCCTAAACCCTAAACCCTAAACCCACACTCTTCGAGCCGAAGGCCTACACCCTATCCTAGTTGCTGAGCTGTGGGGCACCTCCTTTACCAGAGTCCATATATACACGGTTTAGGGTTTAGGGTTTAGGGTTTAGGGTTTAGGGTTTAGGGTTTAGATCCAAATGTCTATGTACATATAATGTACGTAAATGTCATCCGGCACACTGCAAGACCCAGAGCGTCCCTACATCCTAAAGCCCCCAAAGGCTAAACCCTACATCCTGAAACCCCCAGAGCTTAAACCCGTTCCTAGTAAACCTAAACCCTAAACCCCAAAAAGTTGGGAGCATTCGGGCTAAGAAGGGAGCCCCGGTCACGCGCTCAAATTTGCCAGGGTTTAGGGTTAGGGTTCAGGGTTTAGGGGTCAGGGTTTAGGGTTTAGGGTTTAGGATTTAGGGTTTTAAAGCAACATCATCAATGGCTAGGGGTTTTAGGCTCCAAGGAATGAAAATGGAAGTGAAAAGGCCCTTCAAAGAAAGGAAGATGCCAACAAAATATCGGTGCTTCGGGTTTGCGGGTGTCTGGAGGCACTGTTTAGGTCACCCCTCCGCCAGGAAGATGTGCTGCGCGTCTTTGCCGACCGGCAAGGCACTGTCAATATTCTCGCAGTTTTGCTGACTAGTTCATAAGGTTGTTCCCCCCCGATGCTTTGCATGCTTAACTGCAAGTAATGGTTGCACAGGAAACGTGAACCCTTGCCAAAACATGTCGCCACAATGCCGTACTCCGGATTGTAGGACCACCAAAAAAGGTGTACACCCCTAGCTTGAAGAACCCCCCCCGAATGTAGGGGGACAACTCATCATGTGAAACCAGTAACTAGGATGTCTTGTGGCTTACAAGCATGACACCCCAAACCAGCCAAACTGCAAGGACCGAAACCCTAAACCGCTAAACCGTAGTCCCCACACCCTAAACCCTAAGCCCTAAGCCCTAAGCCCTAAACCCTAACCCCTCGCCCTCAAACCCTCGAAGCCCCAAAGCCAGAATGTTGGCGCCTTGGGCTTTTGATGATCTCGCCCCCACGCAGGCGACATGGCG